GCGTGTGCATCTCGGAGATCTGAGCCCACCTGAGGGAGGGGGTGGAGGGGGGAGAGTGAGGGCTTGCGGGGAGCGGCAAGCGGGGGGGGAGGGGGGAGTGTGTGTGTGTGTGGGGGGGTGTGGAGCGGTGCGGAGGGAGAGCATATGCACACGCAATGACGTTCGGCGGCCTGAACAGAGTGATTGTGGTCCGCGTAGGGGAGAGGGAGGGAGGGGAGGGGAGGGGCGGCGAGGGTCCTCCTGGGGGAGTGTGGGCGGGGCGGGAGTGTCGGCCGCACTTTGTGCCCAGCTGCTTGACCCGCCGCCACAGGTCGACGTCCTCCTCGATGGTCCAGTCGGAGCGGCAGATGTCTGGCCGCAGGTGGTTGTGCCACCGCTCGCGGCACTGCTTGCCGTTGCGCATGGTGAGGGCAGTCGCGATGAGGGCCCAGTTCTTGACGCCGTGGCTCGCGACGAGCCGTCGCAGCGCCTCGTCCTCCGACGGCGCCCACGGGCGCCGCTTTGCGCCAAAGTCGCACAGCTCTCCACCTGCTGGCGCTGCGCCGCCGGGGGCCTTGGCAGCCAGCTTCGACTTCTTGGCCGTCGCCACGACGCGCTCGTCCGCCGCCGTGGCCGAGGACGACGACGACGACGACGACGCACGGTTGGCGCCGGCGCTGCTGGGGCGCTTGGACCGCTGGCGCTGGCTGCCGCCTGCTGCAGCGGCGGCTGCCGAGGAGGGGGTCAGGCTTGACCCGGTGGCGGCGGACGCGGCCCTCCGCTGCCCGACAGCTGCCCTGCGAGGCGAGCGGCGCCCTTCTGCTGCAACGGCGGCGGGCTTGCCGAAGGATCCCTCCACAACCCCTTTTGCAGCACGATCCTCGGCCTCTGGATGTTCGACTGCCACCGAAGGCGGCACCTTGATCCTGAGCCGGCCGGACATCGCGTGCAAGGTGGCTGCGGCTCGGGCTCGGGCAGCGAGGCCCCCTTCTTGCTTATGTTTGGCGCTGTTGGCCAACCCAGCAAGAGGCAAGGGGTTGCTCGGCAGCTAGCTGCCCGTGCACCACACCAGAACCGGGGGCCCGAATTCTTTGCGAAAACCGCCGTTTTTCTTTCGTTCCGAAGCCCTCAACGAAAATCGCCGTCATCGCTCCTTTGTCTCGCAGCGTAAAGCAAAGCCAAGTGAAAGGGTTCACGCAAAGAGAGCTGTGGGAAGCGTAAACTGCTGGAGGTAATCACAAAGGAGAACAAAAAATAAAAAACAAAAGAGAACGTCTCTTGAGGCGAAACAAAAAAGCGAAAAAAAAATCGCCCGCGGAATTTTTTCACCGCACACAGCACACCAGCTGCAGCACACTAGGCACCTCCGCCGCCGCGATGCTCGTCGTCGCCACCGCTCTTTCCGCGGGCCTCGTGCTGCCTCGTGCTGCCTCGCCGAGCGCTGGCCTCGTCCGGCCTGCGCACGCGGCGACGCACCGCGCCGCCGTGGTCGCCGAGGCAGCTGCCGTCGTCGCGAGCGAGGTGGTCACTCCCTCCGAGTTTCCGGCCGGCAACCTCCGCAGCCTCGCCGAGTACGACGAGATGTACGCGAGGTCGGTGGCGGACCCGTCGGCGTTCTGGGCGGACATCGCCGACTCATTCCACTGGGAGCGCCGCTTCGACGAAGTGGTCGACGCCAACTTTGACTCGACCAAGGGCAAGGTGTTTTCGTCGTGGTTCAGCGGAGGCACGACCAACCTGTGCTACAACGCTCTCGACCGGCACGTGGCCGCGGGCAAGGGCGACCAGGTGGCCTTCTACCACGAGTCCAACGAGGAGGGCGAGGAGCTCCCCGCGTGGACTTATGCTCAGGCGCTGGCCGAGGTGTGTGCCGCCGCGGCTGCCGGCGCCAGCGCCGCCGCACACTTGAAGAAGCGCCCGCGCCGCACCGCCGGACGCTGCGGCGCACACGCTCGGCCCGTCGCTGCAGGTGCAGCGCCTCGCCAACGCACTGCGCGGCGCCGGCGTCAAGAAGGGGGACCGCGTCACACTCTTCATGCCGATGGTGCCTCAGCTGGCGCTGGCGATGCTCGCGTGCGCTCGGATCGGCGCGGGGAACCCGCAGCCTCCCGCCTCTCCCCTGCGTCGAGTTCGCGCCCGTCTCCCGCCCCAGCCTGCCTCGCCCGCCACTCCCCTCCTCCTCCTCCTCCTCCTCCTCCTCCTCCTCCTCCTCCTCTCCTCCTCCTCCTCCTCCACCACCGCTACTCTCCACCCGCCGCTCCGCCCGCCTCGCCCGCCGCTCCACCCGCCTCGCCCGCCTCCCGCCCTCCCCCTGCAGGCGCCGTCCACACCGTCGTCTTCGGAGGCTTCTCCGCCGAGGCACTCGCCTCGCGGATCGAGGACGCCGCCTCGCGCGTCGTCATCACGGCCGACGGGGTGATGCGCGGCAGGCCAGCTGTGAACGGCCTCTCTTCACACCTCCAGCTGTGAACAGGCCGACGGGGTGATGCGCGGGAAGAAGCTGGTCGGGCTGTACGAGATCGCGGACAAGGCTGCGGGACTGGTGCGGGGGCTCGAGGTGGAGACGCAGATCGTGCTGCAGCGGCTGCCCCCCGACGTCTCCGGCGTCTCGCTCAAGCCAGGGCGCGACGTGTGGTGGGGTGACGCGACGGCGGCCGCCGATCCGGAGTGCAAGGTGGAGTGGGTGGGCGCAGAGGAGCTCTTCATCCTGCACATGTCCTGTCACCACCACCGCCGCCGTCATTCGCGTCTTGTTCTCCTGGTCAGGACCCGCTCTTCATCCTGTACACGTCCGGCTCGACCGGCAAGCCGAAGGGCGAGCTCCAGCCGAGATCCGGCCGAGATGCAGCCGAGATGCATCCGGCCGAGATGCAGCCGAGCTGCAGCCGAGATGCAGCCGAGATGCAGCCGAGATGTGGCAAGGGCCGTCGTCACTCTCCCCAGACCCCGCGGGGCGGGAGGGGCGCGCGCTGCTCCAAACAGCTCTGGACTTGACCCGAGGCGTGCTGCACTCGACGGGCGGGTACATGGTGTACGCCGCCACGACCACAAAGTTCGTCTCCCGCCCGCAGCCAGGCGGCGTCCCAGACAGCCCCTCGACTCGTGGCGCCCCTTCCCTCTCTCCAGGTACGTCTTCGACCTGCAGCCAGGCGACGTCTACTTTTGCACCGCCGACTGCGGCTGGATCACCGGCCACTCGTACGTGACGTACGGCCCACTCCTCAACGGCGAGACGCGCCCTCGAGATGCGCCCCCGAGACGCGCCCCCGAGATGCGGCGCCGAGATGAGGCCGAGATGCGGCCGAGACGTGTCGGAAGAAGAGCGCCCGAGGGAGAGCCGAGGGACAAGGCGTGCGGCCTAAGGCGCAGGCTGCTCCTCGACAGCGCCTCGCGGCTCGCGTCCTCGCGGCCCTGTCGACGCCGCGTCCACGCCCCGCCGCCCCTCGTCTCAGGAGCGTCGCAGCTCGTGTTCGAGGGCGTGCCTTCCTACCCGGACGCAGGCCGCCTCTGGCGCATGGTCGACAAGTACACGATCGCGCAGCTCTACACGGCGCCGACGGCCATCCGCGCGCTGATGCGGGAAGGGGGCGGGGCCGCTGCAGGGGACATGTCGGAGACACGTCCGTGACATGTCCGAGACATGTCCATAGGAGGGGACGGGGCCGCTGCAGGGGACGAGCCGCTCGTCGCTCAAGCTGCTCGGCTCGGTAGGGGGAGCCGGGCAGCAGCCGGGAGGGTGAGTGAGTGACTGACGAGCGGTGAATTGCGAGTTAGGTGGGCGAGCCCATCAACCCGGAGGCGTGGCGCTGGTACTACGAAGAGGTCGGCGGCTCGCGCTGCCCGATCGTTGACACGTGGTGGCAGACGGAGACGGGCGGCGTCATGATCGTGCCGCTGCCGATCCAGGGCCGCGAGGGGGCTAGAGGCCGCGAGACCTCGGGACACACGCGCCGACCCCAGGCGCTGCCGAGTAGGCGCTTCGATGAAGCCCGGCTGCGCGATGCGTCCCTTCTTTGGCGTGCAGCCCGCCGTCATCAACGAGCAGGGCGAGGAGAAGGAGGGCGCGTGCGAGGGCCTCCTCGCTATCAAGGCTGCCGAGACGCAGCCGAGACGCAACCGAGACGCAGCCGAGACGCAGCCGAGACGCAGCCGAGACGCAGCCGAGACGCAGCCGAGCTGCAGCCGAGGTCTCCCTCTCCTCCCATTTTGCGCAGGCGGCGTGGCCGTCGACCATCCGCGACGTCTTCGGCGACTACGAGCGGTACCAGCAAACCTACTTCCCCATCCCCGGCTTCTACCTCACCGGCGAGCCGCCACGACGAGGAGGTGTACAGGGGGCACGCCCTCCCCAGACCTGTCCTCGACGTGTCTGCAGGCGACGGCTGCCGCCGCGACGAGGACGGCCACTACTGGATCACCGGCCGCGTGGACGACGTGATCAACGTGTCTGGCCACCGGATCGGCACGGCCGAGGTCGAGTCGGCCGTAGTGCTCAATAATTAAGCACTTAGCATTCAGCATTAAGTATGGATGATTAGGTCGAGTCGGCCGTAGTGCTCCACCCGAACGTCGCGGAGGCGGCGGTGGTCGGCTACCCGCACCCGGTCAAGGGGGAGGGCATCTACGTCTACGCCACGCTCAACGAGGATATATTATTATTGTTATTATATATTATTATTATATATTCTTAGGCATCTACATCTACGTCACGCTCAACGAGGGCGTACACGAGTCGGACGAGCTGCGCAAAGCCCTCGTCATGCAGTGCCGCTCCGAGATCGGCGCATTCGCGGCGCCCGATGTGGTCCACTGGGCGCCATCGCTGCCAAAGACGCGCTCGGGCAAGATCATGCGGCGCATCCTCCGCAAGATCGCCGCCTCGGGCAAGGAGGTGACTGCGGACGAGCTCGGCGACACCTCCACGCGAGCTGCCCGGTGCGGGGCCCAGCGCCTCGGAGGCGCAGCAGCCGAGGCGGCTCTCTCCGGCCCTGTAGGCTCGCCGACCCGCCCGTGGTGGACCAGCTCATCGCCTCGCACGGCATGTGAGGCCGCCGCAACGACCCCCCCCCCCTTCATCACACCGCTCGCCATAGCATTACATCTACACACTCACCCACGCACCCGGTGCGCGCTGCGATTTCGGTGAACTCATCGCCAGTACTCTGCAGTTGGCTGACGTACGTGGCGAGATCCGCGGGCATCCGCCCCATGCGCAACATTTTCACGTGGGTGGGTGTCAGTGGTGGCTCAGAGGCGCAGTCGCTGTAAATAAATAAATAGAGCAGGCATACTTCGTATCTCCCGGTGTCGCTGTCTCGCGAGGACTTCCTTATAGCCTCTTCGGGTTCTTTTCTTACTTTGGAGCACCGTGCTTTCTCCAAGACGTGGAGGCTGCAGCACTTTATTTTGCGACTTTGGACGTTTTGGAGTGCACAGTTGGGGCAGCGGCTCACATCCAGGCGGCCGGGGAGCTAAGAAGCGCACCCAGCGGGCCGGATGCTCGGGGATGGGTTGCGGGCAAGAGGCCCTAGCCCTGGGGGGTGCGCGCGTTCGCAGGGCCATAATTGGGCCATAACACAAAAAACAAACGCTCTCACCTGGCAACCCAGGCAACCCTGTCTGCACGTCTCGCGCGCGCGTGAACAGGGCCCCCCGACCTCCTTTCGCACGCGATGTGGGACAGGTGTGGATGTTACTATTGTCACAAACCGTGGCCTTCCGAGAAACAATTCCTAGCAATGAACAACTCACTCACTCAACACAGTGCACAACAGGCCGCAGTAAACACCCTCTATTCTATCAGTTCTCACAGTGATCGATCGAGTGGGTGGGTGGGGGAGGGTCGATCGGCCGAGCAGAGTGTGACACTTCCCACAGGTGTGTCCACCAAGCCGCCATCGATCGCGGGAGAACAGCTCATGGTGTGATCTGGCGCGGCTTTAGACCCACGTGGTCGACGTTTGGCAGAAGCCCCTGTCGCCGTTCTTGCCCAGGACAAAGTCGAAGTTGGAGAGAAGCGTCTTGTCCATCATCCGCTTCTCGTTCTGAGCTTGGACTTCAGCCCAACGGTGCTCGAGGGCGCTTGCCATGTCAATGAGCTGCGTCTTGTACTCATACGTCCGGGGGTCCCCCGAGCGTTGGACGTTGGGCAACTCTGCGACCTTCCGCAGCTCAGCTGTCACGCTAGTGGTGTCGGCGTCGTCGTTCTCGTCGGTCCCATCGCGCATGCACTCGCTCCGCGTAGTGTTGCCGATCACGGTGACGAGGCCCGCCACCGCAAAGTTGCCCAACGTCTGAGGCGACGGAGGCAAGTTAATGTGTTGCCGGATAGTGCTGTCATCTGTCCGTTAGGGCCAGGCTGAACTGAGTGGTCCGCGACAGGGCTTCTACGTTGTGCACCTTTCCCCAGCACCAGTACTTATCGGTGCACTCCTTCAGGTCGAGTCCAAACATCAAGTTGAGAGAAAACGTGAAGGTGTGTTCGATGCCAACCAACCGAGCCGTCTGAGCCGGGTGGTAAGACGCAATCCTGGCGTTGTCCGGGTACTGCAGTGTGTGGAGATTCCTCGTGTAGGAGTCCAGATCAGCTTGGGGAAGGTGCATCCGGTACGTTTCGTTGCACACAATCTTCTGCGCATCCACGAGTGCAGCCGCGAAGTGCCGCTCGTCCGCTCGCGGGACGCCGTGTGGCATGTAGCGCTTTGCGTATTCGTTGCACGGACTCTCGAGCATGGGCAGGATCGTCCTTGTCTTCATGTTGCTGAGGTCATCGCTAGTCATGGCGCGCGTGTAGATGACCGGTGCCTGGGTCAGGAGGACTTCGGCGACTTCGTAGAGCTTGGAGGATTGGTTGCGGCCGGGGTTGAGAAGGCGCCAGGCGGCATCGCCGTTAGGACGATCCGTGGCAATGTCTTTCGCGGCGAAGGATTGGGTGCCAGAAGCCAAATGAAGCGCGGTGTGGTAGTACCTATTCGCGGGTTTAGAACGTGCGTGAGGAGACACGTTTGCGCTGCAGAGCAGAGGCAGCGTGTGGCGTTACTGGATTGCGTTGTGCAAGCAGTGCGTCATTTCGTAGCGGGCGGCTCCATTGATGTTGTCGGTGGCCGACGACAACGTCAGCTTTCCATCGTGCATCTTGAAGTGCCACTTGCCTTGCCGCACTCCCCCGGCAAGCAGCGCCTCCTTCCGGAAAGTCCTGAAATCGTACTCGGGATTGAGCAGTGAGTCGAGAATCGGTTGCTTTCCTCCGTCCCGTTCAGTGCTGATGACCGTTTCGTCGCAGGCGAATGTGTATGTGCGCTCGTCGTCGTCGTAGGTGAGGAACTGCGCCGCCCAGGTGTTCTGGAAGATGTTTGCCATGCGCTCCTGTGGCATCACATCTTCCTGCCCCAACACGAGGCCCATGTTCCCGTTGTAGCTTTGCTCCACATAGGCGTTGAATTTCTCTGGATCTTCAATGAGCTCAAGCTCGGCCCCCAGGATCGGAACCGGACCTGGGTGGACGTTGTGCACGATCCGTGTGATTGACTTGAGAACACGCTGGTTGAATGGCGGTTTGAAGAGGAGCGCATCGGCAACTGGTTCAACCAGTGGGTTCAGGAGCGTGTTGCGCAAGGTCTTCGCACGCTTTGAGTCCGGTGCCAGCTGACCGCCCGCAACGCAGCGCGGACCCGTCCGCTTTTGATTCGGTCTGCAGATCGATGGGGTAGGCATGTAGGGCTTGTATTTGCTGTCGAGCTGCTTCGACTCGTCCACTGGGCGTTGGGCAAAGAAGATGCCGCCCAAGTTCGGGGCTTCGTGGTCGTGGCGATCAAGGCAGATCGCCGCCTGCTCTGAGTCTTGCTCCTCGGCGGTGACGTTGGCGCACATGTCATGGCAACGGACGTGGAGGGGGTCCGGGCCGATCGGCGCAACTCCGATCGTCCTGGCAATGCCGACTTGCGTCCTAGTAATGCCGGCGCAAAGACTCACGCAGTCACGCTCCCATGTAAATCGAAAAGGATCTGGACACCTGCGAGCTGCGTGGACCGCGTGACAGGCGCAAAAACATGGCTACGTCAAGGCGCGCATCGCGGTTTCTACCACGACGCGATCTTTGTCAAGCGCAACAACTTCAACCTGCTGCTCCACGGGACGTTCGGCGGGCGGCGGCTTCTCGCCCACCGCCGTTCTCAAGCTGCGCCGCCTCGCGCGCAAAGTCGCGCGCGGCAGCGTTGACCGCACGGCCTACCTACTCGCCCAAGTACTCGCTCTCTTTGATGTCCCACCATGCAGAGCGCATCTCTCTCTCTGTTGTGCGAGGCGTGAACCGCGCCATTCACTCTCACCTGGCAATCTGTCTGCACGTCTCGCGCGCGCGTGAACAGGGCACTCTTCCGTTGAAGATCTGTTTTCCACCAACCTTTAAGTGCCAGGGCTCCAGGCCCCAAATGATGTGTGAGTGTTACAGTTGTTTGGTATTGGCCTGTAACCTCTCTTTAAGGTATTGCTAAAAATCGGGTACGTACGTAAGAGCTACATACACTGAAAATCTCTCTCATAACACGGTCTCCTCATAAAAGAAAGAAAGAAAGCAGCAAAGCAAGGGAGGCCATAACACGGTCTCCGAGGATTACAAATTCTTTTCTTAGTTTTCTTAGTTTTGTTGTAAAATTCTTTTCTTGTTTTAGTGCCAGTGCGCGCCTGTCCCGTGCCAGTGTTAAAGAAAGAAAGAAAGAAGGCACACTCCAAGGGAGGGATGGGAGGACGGCACGCCGCCACCACACAGGAATTTTTAAGGAGAGGAGTGTGGTGCTAGCCAGTGTTCTGCGAGGACACCCCAAAGGAAAAATTCTTTGCCTCCGACGGGACTCCGAGGTCACCCCTCCGTCTAGTTGGCGCAGCGTCGCATTCGCTGCTGCGTCGACCATCGCGCCGTACAGATTGTACCGGGCGTGTGGCAGCAGCTTTGCCGTCAGAGGTTCAGTCAGTCGGCACGCTATCGGTCGGTATACGGTATTGCAATACGCGACCCTACGTACGCGACCCTACGCAACCCCTGCCCCCGCCGACGCGGCTCGCTAGCCTCCTGCGGCTAGCGCGTGGCATCCGCGCCGTTCGCACGAATCGCAGACCGCGGACACAAAAGCCAGAGAAAGCAGCTAGTGCTTGGGAGCCGTACAGCGCGCCTCTCCGCCAGCGGCCCGAGCAGTAACACGAACAGTAACACCCGAGCAGTAGCACGCCCTGGGCGCCCCTGCTGCCTCCAAGTCGGACCACGGCCCGAGCCACCGCCGGCCCGACAGAGCGCGCACCAATAGTTATGTGCCCCACCACACGCCATGCACGGAAGCCCCGACACGACGCGCGTGCACAACCCCCCACCATGCACTTCGCCTCGGCGCATGCTCTCCTCACGCTCGACTCGTACTCCACCGGCGGCGGCGCAAAGGCACAGCCCGCTGGCCATGATTGCGCCAGCCTCGCCCTGCGGCAAGCCCGCCCCTGCGCGCGAGCTCGAGGCCGCGCAGGGCAGTCCCCGCCCGCCTCAGTGGCCGAAGCCGGTGGCGACGACGGTGATGGAGAGGACGTTCCCCATCGAGTCGTCGATCTGGGCGCCGAAGATGATGTTTGCGTCCGGGTCGGCCATCTCGTAGATCGCCTCTGCGGCGGCGTTCACCTCCTGCAGCGTCATGTCGCTCGAGCCCGTGATGGTGAAGACGATGCCTACGGGGCGAGGGGGTGAGGGGCGGGGGGTAAGGGGCGGGGGGGCAGGCCGGTCGAGCTACGCGGGTCGGAGGCTCGAGCTTCGCAGGACTTGGGCGAGGTCGCGGGACGCCAAGACGAGAGGGGGGGAAGGGGGGGGGGGGGGGGGGAAGGCTGGCGGCACCGGTTGCTTGCCCGATCGGGAAGTCTATGAGCGGCTACAACACCTGGCGGTGTGGAGGGGAGGGGAGGGGGTGCAAGGGGCGCAAGGGGAGGCCTCTTCCCCTCTGGGAGGGAGGGAGGGAGGGAAAGGGAGGCGG